ATAGGAGCTTTCAAGCACTTCTTAAACATAAATAATTTGAAGTCTGGTTCATACTTAACATCAAGATGACACCAAGATCAGAGCAGCTATGTTAATACAACAGCTGTCATCCACTGGATTAATTTTAGTAATAGATGCTGGGTTTAAATGGGAAAAATCAGAAATCTTATGTTAGGAAAGAAGAGACTTAAGGAAGATCAGAAGCACTTTGCCACCTTACAATAGTCTATACTCACAGACACCTGCTCTTGGAAGTATCTACATGAATTGTGGGTATAAAGGGTTACAGGAGTAGCATTTTCAGTTAAAAAAACATTGGCTTTATGTGGTGACTTAAGCCTTGCATCTACTGCAAACTATAGCAGGGGGAACCTCATACAGATTTTAATGTTCCCGTTTGCTCTGTAACACACATTTTTGGATTAATTCCTTAAGCAAAATTTCCACTATATTGAGAGGAAAGAAACGTGGTCTGCTTCGGACCACAGGACTCGCCTCTTCCATTCCATTTTTGTTCTTTTGCATGTTTAGTTAACTCATGCTTTCACATGGTTAACTCTGCCACTTATTGCGGGATTTAAACTCATAAAGCTGACTATTTTTGACTAGTTTTCATTATTAACCAGGAACAAACTTTAAAGAACTTCCTCTCAGTGGGAAGGAGAAGGAAAGGCTTGGGTACAGGAAGGAGAGTTGCCCTGCAAGTTCCCTCCTTGAGCATTTAGGCAAATTATAAAATAGCATCAGCTGCTGAAGCACACTTCAAGCCAACACTGCCTCAAGTCATCAACCCCAGGAACACATTAAGAGTGATGGCTCCACACGGATGAGTTACTCTGAGTTTTCTTTTTTTTCCTTCTTTTTTCAGTCTTTAGGCACAACTGTGCTTTCCTTCACTGTCAAACATATCTGTCTTTTCCCACAGTCCAGGATTTCTCTCTATTGTAGCCATGGCAAGCAAACACACATTCCAAACACGTTCGAGTCCCCTCTCTCCCATATATATAAAACATAGAAATGGAACTGTTCAATATACACACACTGTAGGAAGCCACCCACAGAGCAAGGCGCTGAGCTTTACACTTGGTCTGAATAAGTCTGCAAGAACAGAACGTTTTTTTTTTTTAATACCTGAACATAAGATACAAAATGTTCTTTGTCTTGCATTTTAAAAGCATTCAACATCAGTCTGAAGGCAGAATAAGCTGGACCCCAACCACACGGAGCTGTAGGGGGAGGATCCAGTGATTTTGTCTCCTGTTAGCACTCAGCTGTGTGTGCAAAGCCCATGTGCAGCCTGCCCAGGGCTGGCCCCAAAGCCAGGAGATGGCCTGACCCGGGAACCAGCACCCAAGGAGAGCAGTGCAGAACACAGGCCCTAAAATTTTACAGTTCAATAAGCCACAGAGCAAGTTTCCAAACCCAAGGGCAGGTTTATTTGTACAGCTTTAGCTAACTGCAGGGTAAATCCTGGAAGAAAGACTGTCCATTGACACACGGGGCCGTGGCTGTGCCGGCGGGCAGTGCCGTGCCCGGGAACTCTCTGGGGCGCAACCAAGGGCACGTGGCAAAATCTCCCAAACAATGTGCACTCAGAGCCTGCACCCTGCACTGCTGGGAACAAGGGCTATCTGACAGCCCAGCACTCAGAGCATGGCAGGCTGAAGTCAATGGAATCAGGCTCTGAAAGTGTCCACTTTTCCCTCCACACAGAGGAACACCAACTGGTCATTACTGAGGGTCAGCGTGAAATACTACAACTGCTACAGCTCCTTCCTTGCTCTCACTGAATACACTCTTCATGCCCTAACTCCTGAATATGGCTATTAACCTTGCTTCCATCTGCAATTAGAGTAAGTGGCTTAATTACATGATGAATTGCTGTGTAGACATCAGCTAATACAGTCATATCCAGCAAAAGGGTGCGGCAAAGTTATTTCACTTGGAAGGAACCACCTTTAAAGAGATCTGTCATACTTGGGGAGGGCAGAAATATCAAATCCAGAGACAGACACCACAAATCACGGGCCCCATCCTGTACACTCCTTCACACCAACAGTCCCCCTGAGCTAATTTTCACTTGCTTGGATAATAAATAAGGGCTGAAGGCTTAAATTTTAAACAGATTAATTTTCTGACATTTTTTAGATTACTAGAACAGAGAGGTGTACAGAAGAAGCTTGCTTTCATGTTTTTACACTTTTGCTTGGGTAGGTAAAGAAAAAAACCAAACACTATGGAGGGTTAATACTGTGCTTTAAAAAGCCTAGGGAAGGTTGTTTATCTAAAATCAAATGTTCCAATTCAGTACTTACATGCAATAGATTTGTCTGACAATATCCAAATAAAAACTTCTTTTAACAAAAACTGAGACCAAATGTGAATTGATGCATTCCCTCAACTTTAACTGGAGTCAGCCCATTTACAGACAAACCCAGACTGAGACCAACTTTAAAACTTTTTCTTTTTCTAAAGCAGGACAGAAAAACACTGCCATAAAAGCTTTGCTTTACAGCCCCAACTAAAAAGCAGTGCTGTGTTTGCCAGTGTACTGCTCACTACTTAAAAGATCACAAGTGTCACCAAGAAAAGTAGGCATTTTTCAGTTGATTACACAAAATCAGCAATCTGCCTTGAGAAAGTCAGAGGAAGGTTTCACATGGACCCCATTCAACAGCATTGGTTAAAATTTCGCCAAGAACTTTAAAATACTATGAGGTCCTTAAGTGCCAAGAAAGGCAGGCAGCACATGAGCACTGGAGAAGGCCATTTCAAAGAGGATCTGATAGGGGAAGGGTTGGGTATCCACCAAACTGTGATGTTAAACAAGAATCTGTCTCTCACCAGCAACGTGATTCCATCAAATGTCAGTTACAAGGACAATCACACATTTTACCATGATAGAACTGATCTCATGAAAATTACCCTGCTACAGCAATTTAAAAATAAATCTGTTTTCCTTAAAAAGAGAGAAAAAAATACTGTATCTGGAAATAAGCAAGGAGGAATTGCCTATAAACACTAATCGACAGAGCAGCAATTTTCAGTTAACCTCTGGACCAAGAGCGATTTATTATCCAGCTGCTAACTTTGGAACTAGACATGGGCATCTTTAATTTTATAAGACGCTGCTGGCTTTAATTCTTGTAGGTTGCCTTCATTTTGTCTCAGGTTTTCTAAAAAAGAGATTTCAGGGCCTCATTTTCCTTTCTCCCCTATTCCCATATGCAAATATATATTCCTGCTTTGTTTTCCAAGACATATGGCTGGACAGTGGTGGGAAATCACCTCCAGCTAAAAATAATCCAGCTCCTTTGCCAACTTTTAGAAACACTTGATTGTATACAGTACTCAGTAAGAACCTGGCAAGAGATTCAAGTGCAGAACAGTGTGTGCCATACATATCCTTAGACAAGAGTTTAATCATAAAGACGTTGCTTCCTACCTATCTGCATGACTCTGCCAAAAACAGAGTTGTTGTCCACAGTGCTGCAATTCCATCTTCTATGTCTGAATTGATACTGGCACTCCTTAATGCCCGTCTTTGCACCCTCTCCAATGAACTGCATATGGTCCTGATACAACTGGCAGAGTTTCTTCTGTCCTTGGGAAAGCCCTGCTAGCTGGCTACATAGTGGCTGGGCTCCTATAATATACACCTCTGACATCTGAACAGGGTTCATGGGGTTCATGGGGTTCATCCCTAAAGACCTGCACAAAGAAAGATTTGCATTAATAAACAGAAGACTTCAAAATAAAATAAAGCAATTTTTAAAAAAAATCTATAAATCCCAGACAGAACTGTATCTTATATGTGAGTATACAACTCCTGCTTTTGTTAACAAGTGAGGAAAAACCCCACACTTAAATAAGAAACTTTTGTTTTAAGAACAGGACAGAAGTTACTAGTTTCCACCCATGTGGTTATCACCATACATTAGAGACTGAAGTACGACACAGACTTGGAAGACTCTAGGCAGTCTTTTACCAGCTTAAATTGACACAGAAAAAAACCAGAAGCTCCAAACAATTGCAAGGCCAGGAAAATAAATAAAGCAAAAATGAAAAAAGCTCTCCAAATCCCCATTTATCTTAACACATATTTTATACTTAAGTCTGGGTTTTTCAATCTGATCTATTATAAACAAATAGGGAAACCTTTAGCAAGCCAGAAATTAGAAACTTGCTACAGACTACGTCTAGCTGCTTCCAAATGACAACACAGAAACATACAGGCAAGTATACTCATTGCAAACAAAATCAACTTTGTTTTCTTAATTCTTAAAGTGCTCTTCACATGATACATTTCAATTAAAAAGTAGCTATTAATCCAAAAGGCATCACTGGAAAAAGAAGAGAAACACCTATTTCAAGAACTCTCAACATTGTACACCATACAGATAATTTGCCAAAGCAGGAATTTAAACGTACTCCTTTGTAACGAAATATATTTGTAAACATTTTGGTTACAGAAAACTTCAAACTGAAACTTTAAGTTTTTCCTTGCAAATCAGCATTTTCTCTTGTACATGCAAAACATCTAATGTAAGGGAGTTGAAACGTCTCTTTTAAAAGAAAAAACAATTATAGTAATTTAAAGATGATAAAACTCATAGAGAATCTACCAGACAGCATTCAAAAAACTGTGTTTTACAAGACGAGATGTTGCACATTTATCCTTACTCGACAGACCCGCTCCTTCTACACAACATATTCCAACCAGAACGCTTCTCCCCTGCTGCCTCGCTCCGGCCGCACTCCCGCAGAAACAAAGTACAGAAGAAGCACAGAGACATTGAAGCAAGCAAATCTTGACACCCCCTTTCAGAACCAAGTCGATACGAGATGCTTACCACCAAGAGCTGGCTTCTATTACAACCTGGGTAAAAGAGGAGAAAACGGCCAGAGCCACTACGAGGTACTGAGAAGCCATTGTACTGCCAACTGTCCCCACAGCACCTCCGTGGATTAATACTGCACTGGATTTCTAGAGGGGGGAGAAAAAGGATCAGATTGTTTATTGCTTCTCAGACCATTTTCGAGCATTCAAGTTTAAACAACGGAAGTCTCCGGGCCCCTTTTAACTTGACTCTGACTCGCCGGCCCTTCTCCCCGCCGAGGCTCTGGTGCCAGACACAGGCACGTCGCAGCTCCCGCTCCACCGGGCAGAACCCCCCCCGCCAGCCCCCACCCCCCGCGGACACCGCCTTCCCGGGGCGCCCGCCCGTCCCTCTGCCCCGGCCCCGCCGCTCCCGCACCCCGCCCGCCGCTGCACGGCACGGCACGGCACGGCACGGCACCGGACCAGGCGCGACAGCCGCTCCGGACACGGGACCCATCCCCGCTGCCCCGGGGCTACAGCGACCCGCGGGCCGGGCATTACCCCATGGCTGCCCGCGCCGGGGACACGAAAGGCTCACGGCTGGCTAAAGGCGGCTTCAGGTTTGCAAAGCGAGCCCGACAGGGAGGGGGGCCGGTGCCTCGAGGGGTCGGTTCCTCGGGGGGCCCGAGGGCTCCCGCCCGGGGATGATGCGGCCGGTCCTCGCCCTTCTCCGTCGTCCCCTAAAACATCTCGGCACAGCCTCGGGGCTCCCGCCCTGCGCGATCGCTGAAGCAGCCCCGAGCTCCGCGCTGGCACCGCGGCGACTGCCCCGACGGCAGCCCCAGGACCGGTACCGGCCCGGGGAGGTACCAGGAGCGACAAGGAGCAGCTCCGCGTCCCGACCCGGACGCTGCAACAACCGGGATGCCGTCTTGGAAGTCAAACGCTTCCCCCGACAGGTCCCGCGATCACCGTCTGGTCCTCACACGGGACTCTTTCACTCTCTCCCTAGAGCCATTCCCGGGGTTGATTTCCCCTCCCCTCGGAAGGAAAAAAAAAAAAAAAAAAAAAAAAAAAAAAAAGAAAAAAAAAAAGAAAAAAAAAGGACATTTCGACACTTGGGGGCTCCCTATTCCCTATTCATTCTCCAAAGGCCCTTAACGCTGAATTGAAGGTGTTCTTAAATCTAATTTATTTCTGTTTGCAAAGGGCCGGGAGGAGCGGAGCGCTGGCAGCGGGGCCGGACACGGAACCTGCCCAGGCACACGGGGACCCCCATGCGCCGCTCCCCGACACTGCTCGGGGGCTGCAGCGCGGGGGCGAAGCCTGCCCGCGCCGTGCGGGTCAAACATCCCCGGCCGCGGGAGATGAGCCCGCCCAAGTCCCCGATGCTGAGGTGGGTAAATGGGGGCCGGTCTCCTGCAGGAGAAAGAGCCCGCCCGCCCCACGGGGGCTCAGTCCCGGCGAAGGTGCGAACGCCGAGGGCGTGCTGAGCGAGGGACGAGGCGAAGCGCGGTGTGCGCGGGGCAAGCCGCGACACCCAACAGCGCCCAACGCGCTGGGCTCTTTTCATCTTGCTACTTCTTGAAGTAATGACAGTAACAAAGGAGCGCCACGAAAGGTCCCGAGCCCAGAGGAGGTCGGAGACGCCGGTGCCCATACGGGACAGCTGTGCGGTTGCCCGGCCCAGCACTCAGGCCGGGCGGCCGCGGAGGGCCGGGACAGCGGCGGGAGCGGAGCGCTGCCCCCGCTGCAAGGCGCGGCCGGCAGGGTCAAAGGCCCCTGTGCCGCTGCAAGGGCCCGGTGCCCCCCGAGCTGCCCCGCAGCACCCAGGCCGGCCGCGGCGCCCCGGGGAGCGGTGGCGCTCCGCTCCCAACAGGGGGCGGCCTCGCCCGGCGGCGCTGCCCTTCCGACGGCACCTCCGCGCCCCAGCCCCGCTGCCACCGCCGCTCCGCTCCGCTGCGCGCACTGCGCCGAGCAGCCAGGCGGAGGAGGCACCTGCGCCCGGGGCCGCGGCGAGCCCGGCCCTTCTGCACGCAGCAGCTGACAAGGTACCACCAGAAACAACACAAAAAAAATCCAACAGTAAAAAAAAATTAAAAAAAAAAAAAGAAAAAGAAAAAAGCAGACTGCCCAGCAGCACGGAGCACTGGAGATCAGGAGTGTGAGGCACCGTGTTCAACTTTGTAGGGCCGCGGAGATTGGGTTTTGGTATTTAACGCACCCCATGCGGAGCCCGCGCTCCTTGCCGAGATGAAAAGAGAGGCTTTTACAGATCCTGCACCGCGGGATCGCCTCTGATCCTGTTTTACACGGGGTGTCTGGAAAGCCTGCGAAGGCATCTGGTTTTCTAGGAGCACTACCAGCGGGCAGGCGGCATCCAGAGCCCGGCACCGGGGGGCTGTAAACCGCGGGAGGCGCAGCGGCTCCGCGGGGACCCCCCAGCCGCCCCCTGCTCCCCGCTGCGTCTTCACAGCCATTTGGAGGAGCCAGACCACGTCTCACGTTTGCAGGGAAAGGCACTGCTCGGGTCCCGGCCCAGCTCTTCCCACCGGAGGCGCAGAGGGGCTATTTTCCCGGGGGTGAAGGCACATCGTGTCCTTCCCTCGGCGCCCGGGGACAGCCTCGCTCCTCGGCCCCGCTGAACTCCCCGTGACCCTCCGAGCGCAGCCCATTTACCATACAATTGACAATTAAAAACAAACAAACAACAAAAAGCCAACAGCCTTTCCAACATGGAGTCCTCGCAGCGCCAAGGGGACCCCGAGGAGCCGCGCTCCTCCGCGCTGACCCAGGCGGGACCCGCTGCAGATGCAGAGTGATAATCTCCAGAAACTGAGAATAAAATTAAATGGGGGGGGGGAGGGGGGGGGGGGGGGGGGGCTGACTCCGGGTCCTCCGCTGGCCCCCAGCCAGTTCTCCTTAAAGGTACAGGCCACCATTAGCGCCGACGTTGGGCTCCTCCATAGCGATCCTCCTCGGGAAAGTTTGGGAAGTTTGGAAAGATGTCTTTAAACTCGCGTTAGGAGCCGCTGCCAGAAAGATGCACCGGGACGCGGCGGGCAGAGCGAGCCCAGCAAGTGTCCCTGCGGCGGGCAGCCTCTCTTCGGGGGGAAATTTGAAAAGAAGGAAAACCAGAAAATACAAGAGCTTTTCCCAAGTGGGGAGCAGAACTCTCCGCGGTGGGTGAGAGCGCAGACGTACGAGCACCCGGCGCTAGCCGAAGAGGGGAGGAGAGGCCGCCCCGCGCCGGGGCCCCGCACCTCGGCGAGCGCAGCCCACCCTGCGCGCCCGCGGCCCCTGCGGCGCGCAGCCCCCGCGCGGACTCACCTCCATCGCGCGGGATCACCGAGCGGGAGCAGCCAAGTAATCCAAGCGGAGCAGGAGGCGAAACGGCGAGACGAAAGTAAAATCCTGGCTCGCAGGAGCCGGGCGGTATCGTCCCGAGTCGCGGCCGGGGGAGCGCGGGGGCCCGCGGAGCTGGCGGGGGGCGGCGGGCGAGCGGCCGCCCTGTCCGGCGCAAACCGAGCGTGTCCGACTGCGGAGCGGGGCACCAGTGCAGCCTTCTTTCCAAGGTCCATCAGCAATCGCAGTAATTAGGGCTTTCCACCAGCAGAAGAAGAAGGAGGCAAAAAAAAAAAAAAAAAAAGCCCAAAAAAAAAAAGCCAAAAAAAAAAAAGCCAACCCAACACACGCACACAGCGCCCGTGGGCGTGATTGTGCGGAAGCAAATAAAAATCTTCACAAGCGGCAGCGAAAGCGCCGCGGGCGACAATCCGTCCCACCAGCCCAGGTGGTGCCGCCGCGGGGCTCCCCGCGCTCCCACCCGGCTCCGCCGGCGCTCGGGCCGCCGACCGCCCCCTCCGCAGCTCGGCGCGGACCGGCCCGCGAGAGGGGGACGATGGAGCCGAGCGGGTGCAGGGCTCCCCCCTGCCCGCCCCCCTTCACTTGCTTAAAGGCTGGGCGGTGCAGAGCCGGGGGTCCGCCGCTGCAGAGCCATCCCGGGGCCGGCTCCCTCCATTTTACACTGAGAAGAAAAAGCCCAAACAGAAAAAGAAGTTTCTGCACAAGCGGGAAGGGGGAGGGGGGCTGTGCACGCGTTTGCCTGTCTTACGGGGCGACTGATCCTGCAAGGCGAGCAGGGGCAGGGGGAGGGGAGCAGTCCGGGCTTCAGGAGCTGCGGCTCCCCCAATCCATCGGTGCCAGAGGCGCCCAGCGCCGGGGAGCGGGATACGCGGGAGAGGAGCCGGGAGAGCAAGCCGGGGCAGGCGGCGTCGCGGCAGCCGACCCTTCCTCCGTGGGGCTCTGCCCCCGCCCGCTGCAGCCGGCCCCGCTCCCCCCGCGTCTCTCCCTCGCTCCTCTTCACCCCGCTGCTTAAAACTGCGAAAGAGGAGAAAAAAAAAAAAAAAAAAAAAAAAAAAAAAAAAAAAAAAAAAAAAAAAAAAAAAAAAAAGGAAAAGAAAAAAAAAGTTAAGACAGCCAACGGCAGCTGGAAAACTTTCTCGGCAGCGCATGCGCCCAGGGCCGGCCTATTGCAGACAGGGCTGGATTTTAAAGCTGCACGGCAGCGAGCGGGACCGCGCGGCCCCGGGCGGGCGGCGGGAGCCCGCAGTGCGTGTCCCCGGCCCGGCCGCCGCGCTGGGTCCCGCATCACCGAGCCGTTCTCACTGGTCAGGCTCGGGGGGAAGCCCCGTGAGGGCAAACTCCTCCTGCAAAGCAGTGCCCCGTGCGCCCTTCCCGGCCGGCGGGGTGCGCGCGGGGGAGCGCGGCCCCTCCAGCACCGCCGGCTGCTCATCCTGGGCCGGGATGGGGGCACGTGTACACCCATGTAAACCCGTGTGCACCCACATACGCACATGTACACCCATGTTCACCCATATACACACACGGGCTCTGCCGGGCCGGCCCCGCGCACACATGTGCACACAACGTGCGGCGCACATGGCCGCGCCGAGCGCCTGCCCAGCATTCCTGCCGGGCGGCTCGGTGACAAGCCCTGCTCGTCGCATGCTCCGAGGCGCGGGGGCGGCCGCGTGTGCCGCCTGCCAAAGCGGGGACCGAGCGAGCTCGACGGCTCGTGTTCCTATTCCTGCAGCGGGTTTTTGGCGCTGTAAATTTGGCAAGTTGTTGACAAAACTGTTTGGATTAAATCAAGTGAGACCCAATGAGAGCTACAGGGGAGAGGGGCTTCGCGGACCCTTTGCACCTCCCAGCTCTTTCCCTGCTCTGCAGCCCTCGGGTTTTTATTGCACCTCTCCCGTCCCGTGTGCACCCAAGCACAGGAAATGGGAGCGTTCCCCCAGCCACGCCGTAACTCCGCAGTATTTTCCCTGGATCCGTCTGCAACTGCGGGTCCACGAGGGGATGCGGGGGAGGGGGCACATTATCAAAGCAGCCCTGGGAAATCCAACCAGGCTGCGAGAACAGCTCCGCTATCAATAAATGCATTCACTCCCTCAAAGCCATTCCAGTGCAAACAAAATCCCTTCAGGAGGCCGATGGGGGACAAGTCACATCCCGGCCGGCCCGAGCCGCTGCCGCTGCCCACCTGCTGCCGAGCCAAGAGCTCGTCCGCCCCGCCGGGGCGCTGCCCGTCAGGTAAGCGCAGCCTCCGGCGGCACCAGCGGCGGCCGAACGGGCCCGCTGTCCCCGCCGGGCCCCGATAGCCACGGCTGCCCCTCGGCCCTGCGCCCCCCGAGCCAGCCCCTCCGTCGCTCTGGCGGGCCCCGCTCCCCCCCGAGCCCGCCCGGGGGTCGCGGCGCTGCAGGGGCCGCCGAGAGGGGCGCGGCGCTGGGGCCGAGCGGCGGCAGCGCGGGCGCGGAACGGGAGCGGCGCGGAGCCCCCTCGGGCCGCGCTGGGCAGGGGATCAGCCCGGCACTCTGCGACACCTGAGCGCCCCGGCGGGGCCCGAGGCCGCAGCATCGCTCCGGGCAGGTTTCTGTGCTCTCTGATATCCAGAGAGCCTTTCCATTAGGAATCCTCACTGCCTGGGCTGCTGTTCATTCCTCGGGACGCCTGGTGAGGAATTTATAAATTAGGTGTACCACCAGGTCCGGGGAGGGGGCTGTTCGTTTCTTTAAGAAGACCAACCTTAGTTTTATGCCTAGTAAATAATATTTTATTGCCTTTGGTTTACTGTGGCATTTCAATTATCCCCTTTAGGAGTCTGCAAACTGCGTAGGTTAAAGGTCATTTCTCAAATCACTAGAATTAGTAAAGAATAGCAGAAAACTGTAAAAGGGGGAGGAGCTGCGCAGTAAAACAAGAAAGATCGCCTGGAATAAACTAATAAAAAGCCCCGAGCTGTTTACCTCTCGCGTTTGTATTCCCGAACGATGTTTATCATCGTGTAATTGCATAATGTCATCGGGCACAGGAAAACGCCATGCCCGGGATGATCCACACGGGCAGGGCTGTGAGCGGCAGCTGGGCAGTGGGGGAAGCCAACACCAGATCATTTTCTGTGCCGGGATTCCTAGTCGCTGCCTTTAAAAAGAGAACTGAAGAGGGAATTTATAAATCACAGGCAAATTTTCAAGCTATGGCGCATATAAGTGGAAATAAAGGGCACAAATCCAAACATCCTGCAAGGCTTTAAGAATTTTAATTTCTCCTCACTATTTAAAACAGCTGGGTGAAGCTAGAGAGGGGGCAGGAGGGAGAAGTATTGATAATGTTAGAGGCATTCATGCTGCCCAAGGTTTTGTTTTCCAGGTTTGTTAGTGATGGAGCTCCAAAGGTAACCAGACAGTTGATCTGTCTGGCTTCACTGCCAACATCAAAGAGTATTCTGGAGGAAAAAAAATAAATTCTCAGAGTAATGTCATAAGAAGTGTGATGATATCGTTGAATGCATAAACAGCAGAACCTCAGAAAGCAGCACTGCAGGATTTTAGAGACTTAGGTCTGTTACAGTTGTGCAATTCTCTGTAGGGCAGAAGTAAATAATTTCTGGTCTTTTCAATGTGTTTCTGCCATTTTTCTGCAGGGTAATGCATTTTAACAAAGGAGTGGTCACATCAAAACCTTGCATGCCTGTGTTCATTGGAACATGTGGTGCTATGTGATTTACATCTTTCCACCCTGGCCAATGGCAGGGTGTTCTTCGTTGAACACCATTGGGAAACAGAACCCGTTTGGGAAACAGAACTTTCAAGGAAAGGAAGGGTTTTCCTATGTGTCTTTTTAGCTCATGATGGAATTTGAGTATATGGTGTAGGAATTACATCTCACACTGAACCATTGTGAAGGTGCAGCCCGTGTGCAGCTGCTTTGGTGTCATTACAGTGAATCTGCTTCTTTAGGTGAGGGTCGTGCCCTGATGCCCATTTGACAGAGCAGAGATGTCACATCACTTTGAACATGTAACCTGCACTCTGCCCACCAGACCATCTACTCCAGGGATGACTTGACTTTAAACTCCTAGGGATTTAGATGTAACTGCCTTGAAATCACATATGTACTTTCCTAAGGCTGCTTTCTTTCCCAAGAACATGCTGTTGCTTTTTTTCTGCAGACCATCCTGTCATCCAAAAGATGGCTCAACTACAAAAGAAATGCCAAAGATGATAATTTTATGCCAAATCTTGCAATAAGTGTTATTTTCCTAATCCTCATCCAGTAGAGGCAAGGAACAGCATGGGAAACTCTCTTTTTAGACAATAATTCTGTATTTCTAGCTTGCCTAAATTGTGAACAGACTTTGACAAGTTGAGAGACTAGAAGACAAAGAAAAAAGTATG